GACAAGAAAGAACTTTTCCCCTTAGTGGAAGGATCGGTGACCAGGGATATAGATTTAAGATATGGGGCAGAACATTTAGAGAAGATGTGAGGGAATAATCTTTTCACCCAGAGGGTGGTGAGAACATAGAATCACTACCTGTAAGGATGATACAGGCAGAAACCCTTATAACATTTAAGACGTATTTAGATGGACACTTGTGATGCCAAGGCATACAAGGCTATGGGCCAAGTGCTGAAAAATGAGATTAGAACAGTCAGGTAGTTGTTTTTGATCTGCACAGATCTGATGAGCCTTTTTCAGTTCTGTAGATCTCTATGGCTCTATAAGAGATGGTTAACAAAGATAAAGCAACTGAGTTTGGTATGTGAATTTTCAAATGGTCACTAAAGCGATTAATAGAGAAGTTGAAGCCATGAGATTAAAGGGACAGCAGAAGCGTGCATAGAAACAAAGTGAAAGTGGGAATGGTGTAGGTTTTCAGATTAGAGAGGAATGTGCCATGGTGCCCTTACCACCAGCACCACCACCATATGTAATAGGCTCTCTTTTTGAGATGTGTCAATTACACAGAAATGGGTATCCAGCATAATTCCAAAGATTTCCAATGACAGTAAAACTAGGTAAAGTAGTAAAAAGTGTGGAAGATTGTAGCAGACTAGACTTCAGCAGGACATAGACTGGTGAAATATACAGACATATGAGAGATGAAATTTAATGCAGAAAAATATGAAGTGGTGCATTTTGGAATTGTGAGGAAGGCCGTATAAATCAAGAGATAGCTAGCCCAGATCTAAGATCTTTTCTGAGGCTGAGGCATATTGTTGGGGCAGTGTAAAAAAAAACTCACTCAGTATCTAACCCATGCTGTTCGTGCCATAGGAACGTTGATGGGCTAGTGTAGCTAGAGCTCTATTCTGTACCTATACATAAAACATTTGAATGCTAGTACTGCTTTCCATTCCATTGAAAGGTATTCTATTCTGTAGAACTGACATCTGCCAACTTAATAAGCACTGAAATTCAATCAAAAGACGTCTTAACAATAATTTGAGTGATAGAGCTGTACAGCACGGAAACAGATCCTTCGATCCAACTCCTCCATGTCAACTACATATACTACTGTAGTCCCATTTGTCAGCAATTGGCTCATATTCCTCTAAACCTTTCCTATTCCTATACAAATGCAGATGCCTTTTAAATGTTGTAATTGTACCAGCCTCCATCACTTCCTCTGGCAGTTCATTCCAAACACCCACCACCCTCTGTGTGAAGAAGTTCCCACTTAGGTCCCTTTTAAATCTTTACCCTTTAATCTTAAACCAATGCTCTTTAGTTTTGGCCTCGCCTACCCTGGTGGATAAATCACCTGTACCAGATGGGCAGCACCCCAGAATCCTGAAGGAGATAAGCTGAGGAGATTGTAGAGCCATTGGTGATCTTTCAAGAATCACTGGAGTCAAGGAAAGCCCCAAAGGACTGGAAAATGGAGGTGCAGGTAGTGTTGGAGAAGTGGGAAAGCTACAGAAGGATTTGAACATGCTAGGAGATTCAGCAAAGAAGTGGTAGATGGAATAAAATGTGGGAAAGTGAGAGGTTATGGACTTTAGTAGAAACAGCAGAGGCGTAAACCATTTTCTAAATGGGGAAATCTTCAGAAATCTGAAGCACAAAGGGACTTGGAGTCCCAATTCAGGATTCTCTTAAGCTTAGCATGCAGATTCAGTTGAGAGTTAGGAAAGCAAATGCAATGTTAGTGTTCATTTCAAGAAGGCTGGAGCATAACAGCAGCAATGTACGGCTGACACCATATAAGGCTCTAGTCAGGCCACGTGTGGAACATTGTGAGCAGTTTTGAGCCCTAAAACTAAGGAAGGATGTGCTGGCATTGGAGGGAATCCAGAAACGGTTTACAAGAATGATCCCGGGGTGAATGGCTAGCTATATGAGGAGCAGTTGAGGATTCAATGAACTTTAGAAGGTTAGGGGATCTCATTGAAAATTATAGAATACTGAGAAACCCGGACAAAAATGGATGTAGAGAAGATGTCTCCGCTAGTAAAAGAAACTAGGACCTGAGGCACAGCCTAAAAGTAAAGAGACGACTGCTCAGAACTGAGATGAGGATGATTTTTAATCTGTGGAACGTATTGCCACAGATGGCTGTGGAGGCCAAGTCATTGAGTATAATTAAGACAGAGATACATAAGTTCTTGATTGGTAAGGGGTTCAAGGGTTAGAGGGAGAAGGCAGAGAATGGGGTTGAGAAACATTTAAGCCATGATTGCATGGTGCAGCTTCACAATGGTCAAATGGCCTAATTCTGCTCCTATGTCTTATGATCCTGGGGGTTACCACTGACGAGAAACTCGACAGGAGTCATCAAAATAATATAGTGGCTACAAGAGCAGCTCAGAGGCTAGTTATACTGCAGCGAGTAACTCACCTGCTGACTCCCCAAAGCCTGTCCACCATCTACAAGGCACAAGGCAGGAGTGTGATGGAATACTGCCCACATGCCTAGATGACTGCAGCCCCGTCAACACTCAAGAACTTGACAGCATCCACAATAAAGCAATCTACTTGATTAGCACCACATCCACTCTCTCCTCCACCGATGCATAATAACGGCAGGATGTACTATCTACAAGATGCACTGCGGTAATTTGCCAAAGGTCTTTAGACAGCACCTTTAAAACCCACAACCACTTCCATCTAGATGGACAAGGGTAGCAGGTACATGGGAACACTACCATGTGTAAGTTCCCGTCCAACTCACTCATCATCTTGACTTGAAAATATATCATCATTTCTTCATTGTTGCTGGGTCAAAATCCTGAAATTTCCCCCCAAATGGCATTGTGGGTGTACCTGCACCACATGAACTGCAGCAGTTCAAGAAGGCATCACCATCACCTTGTGAAGAGCAACTAAGGATGGAAATAAATGCTGGCCAGCCAGCAATGGCCATGTCCCACAAGTGAATAAGTAAAAATCCCAAGTAAATAATTGAGGCTCCAACACTGGTTCTTATGGCACACTGCTCATCATGTCTTGCCAACCTAAAAGCAATCCATTTACACCCACCTTCTGCTTCAGATTAGTTAACCAATCCATTAACCATGTTGACTCTGCCTGGTTTCATTAATATATTCAAAGTGTCCTACCCTGTCCTCCTTAATAGATTCTAACATGTCCCTTCTTCTCTGCTGATCTCTAGTGCATACTGTTGTAAGAAATTGTTCTGAAAACAATGGTCTGTCTTATGAGGAGAGATTGAGCTGTTAGTTATATTTGCTGGAGTTTAGAAGAATGAGAGGAGATTTAATTGAGGTATATAAGATGTTAAATGGGATTGACCAAATAGACATAGAGCAGATGTTTCTCCTTGTGGGGCAATTTGGAACAAGAGGTCATAGTTTTCAGATATGGGATGGCAGATTTAAAACAGATATGAGGAGGAATTACTTCTCATAGAATCATAGAACTCTGCAGTGTGGAAGCAGACTATTCAGCCAATCAAGTCCCTCCAAAGAGTATAGCACCCAGATCCAAACCCTATCCTATCCCCATAATCGTGCATTCCCCATGGCTAATTCACCTAACCTAGACATCCCTGGACACTATGGGCATTTTAACATGGCCAATTCACCTAATCTGCACATCTTTGGACTAAGAAACCGAAATGCCCAGTTATGAAATCTTTTAAAGCTACAGGCATCATGAATGATACCTTATTGAATATTGCAATCTTAACTTCTTGCCATGTCTTCTCTACTTAATTTAACAAATTGTCTCAAACTTGATCCCTCATTCCCACTGTCTAGTTTACAGCCTCCTCTGCTGACCTGGTTATATGACTCACCAGAACACTGGACCCAGCAAAGTTCAGGTGAGAACCATCCCACAAGCACAGTTCTGACGTACCATTTCTCCTACAGCAATGAGCCATGCATCTCTCTCATGTCCTCTGGTTTCCAATACTCCACTAATGTGAACAGTTTCTCCCTATCTGTCCAGGCCCTTCATGATTTTGAGCACATCTGTTAATGGCCTATTTCTGTTGCTATTTACTATTACTTGTGGTGCAGTAGGTATGATATAATATTTGAAGATACATTCACTGACTTTAACCTTTTGTGTGAGACCATTTTAACTTCTTGCGACATTGCATCCAGGATTGATTCCTGACATTGACTTCCACACTACCAGCTCTGACAAATTTCTGATTGTGTCTATCTTCTGGAGAGACTTCTCCCACCACCTGTGGACATTCCTCCTACCATACACCTTCACCAAGACTTTCAGTGCTGCATGTGAAATCCTAAGAGCCAGCTCTCTCCTATATTGTGGCATTCTTCAAGTTCACATTAAGCTCCCTCAGGATTGCCAGAATCTGCCTCAGTCCCACTGCAACTCCCCTTTAAAAGTTGCAGCTTTATCAGTACTAGCAGCTCATGATAATAGCCCCCTGATCTGGCATCCTACTGTCAACAGTGAGGTAAATTATAAAATCATTTAAAACTGCAATGATACAGTCTAGAAAAAGAAGAGGAACAAAGAAATTATTCAAAATATATCTTGGAAAATGCTTTTGTTCCAATTAATTTTCTCTAAGCTACAGCATAAAACAATTAATTGACAATAAAAGCATTAACCAATTCAGTTGCCTGATTTGTGCTTAAAATCTAAAGGCTTGTTCCTTTGTCAGGTACTTAAGACGTGAGTTTCTAAGACTTCCTGGAGTGAAGAACGTCTGTAGCAGCAGACTACAACAACCTCACCAACAATACAGAAGTGTTATATGTCAAAGTTTTCCAAAGAGACAAAAGTTAAGAAGCACAGTAAGTTGTGTAGTTGGGACCAGAAAGATACAAAAAGACATAGACAGATTACATGAGTAGGAAAAACTATGGCAAATAGAAATGAGTATGGGGAAGTGTGTGTGGGGTAATGAAAAACACAGGGGCAACTCCGTTGTATGCATGACATTTATAATGATGGAGGATGGTGGTAGCTCATGTCCTGTGCTGAACGTCGATCATCCACCCAATAGTCGACTCTTTCTGGTCATCAGCAAATCAATATCTGAGGAGGCAATCAGAGAAAAATTTTCCTTGTTTGGCGATATCCAGGACATTTGGGTGGTGCGGGACAAACAGTCCAAAAATCATAAGGGTATTGCCTATGTGAAGTTCAGAAAATCATGGCAAGCCTGTAAAGCAATGGAGGACATGCATGGCAAAACTCTCACTGGGGACACCAAACCCATCAAGGTGTTCATAGCACAATCCAGAGGATCTAAGAGCCACCGTGATGTTGAAGATGAGGAGTTGACTAGGATTTTTGTTATGGTTCCAAAATCCTATGCAGAAGATGATCTGAGAGAAAAGTTTAAGGCTTTTGGAGATATTCAATACTGTAATATTGTCAAGAACAAGAAAACTGGGGAGAGCAAAGGCTTTGGCTATGTGAGATTTCTGAAACCGTCTCAGGCTGCTCAGGCCATTGAAAATTGTGACCCATCTTTTAAGGCAATACTTGCAGAGCCGAGGAAAAAATTTACATACTCTGAGAATATTTGTGTGAGAAGCGACAAAGAAAATTTATCACATAGACAAGGGTTTCGTCCTCTGAGAGATCAAAATGTGTTACCTTTTCATGAATTTAGCAATTTTGAAACAAGTGAAATAAGTAGTAGTGAAATGGGAGCAAAAATAACAGGAGCGGGTGAGATGAGAGGAATTGGTGCACTGAAAGGTGAAGGAAGAAGAGGAGTTGACGAAATGAGAGGAGGTGTCAGTGGAGAAAGAAATGGTAAAATGAGAGGGGGAGAAAGAAGAACTGGTGAAATGAGAGGAACTGGTAAGATAGGAAACAGTGAAATAATAGGATCCAGTGAAATGAGAGGTGACGAAAGGGGTGATGAATTGAGAGGAATTGATGAGATTAGAGGTGGGAAAAGGGCAGGTGAAAAAAGAGGAATTGGTGAAATAACAGATGTCTATGAAATCGGAGTTGGAGAAAGAACTGGTGAGATGAGAGGATCCAGTGAAGGGCGAGATGGGAAAAGAAGGGGTGGTGAAATGAGAGGAGTCAGTGAAGTGCGGGCAATCAGAGAAATAAGTGGAGTCAGTGAGATAGGAGCAGCTGGTGAGATGGGGGAAGGTGGTGAGATGAGAGGAGTTGGTAAAATGCAAGGTGAGAAAGGAAGGGTTGGTGAAATAAGAGGAGTTGGGGAAATGAGAGGAGTCAGTGAGGTGAGGGGAATTGGTAAAATAAGGGGAGTTGGTGAGATGAGAGGAGTCATTGAGATGAGAGGAGGTAATGAGGTGTGGGGTGTCGGCGAGATGAGGGGAGTCAGTGAGATGAGAGGAGGTGGTGAGATGTGGGGCATCAGTGAGATAAGGGAAGTCAGTGAGGCGAGGGGAGTCGCTGATGTGAAAGATGTCAGTGAGATGAGAGGAGGTGGTGAGATGTGGGGGGTCAGTGAGATGAGGGAAGTGGGTGAAGTGAGGGGAGATGGTGAGATGAGAGGGGTCAGTGAGATGAGGGGAGAT